AAAAAAAAAAAACACACACAAAAAACACAACAACAACCATAAAACAAAGTTATGAACAGTAGGACTCATTGATGTCCAAAAGAAACTAAAAAATGCAATCACCCAAATAAGCATGTTAAAGCCTTACATTACCCACTCAGGCAGCAAAAGTAGCATGTTAACCAAATAAGCCCCGATTCGGCTAAAAAATATAGATTTTGAGTATATTTATATAGGATAGATATAATACGCGTAATTTTTATTTAGTCAGCCCCTCAGCCTCCAACTATTCATCGCATAAAAACCACCAGAAGTCTTTTTTCTTCCCATACCGGCATTTCTGTCACCACAATTTCTTCATAAAGTCAATATTCTATTTTCTTCATCGTCCGGTTTTCTCAAAACGCTATTTTTCTCTATATATATACTTTTTTGAATAACTCGAGATCCGCACCACTTTTTATCCACTCTTCACTTCATGAAATTTCCACAGAGTGAAGAGAAGATGTAATAGTAAAAATTTGCCTGTAGAATTTTTTAAAATATAGAACATATTATGGTAGATCTATAGCCTTTTGTTGGTGGTGTCTGGAGTGTGGATTTTCACGGATATTTTTTGCAAACTTGAAAACTGACTCAGGAAAAAAATTAATAAAATATTTTCTAAAATTAAAATATCAAATGGTTTAGGAAAAATTCAACATACAAATGTATTTGTAGATCTAATGTTTGCTAACATGAATACAAAACAATGCTATCATGCCACCCCCAAACTGTGCTCCCAAACAATGTGGATGAACTCTTTAGCTTTTTGGACCAATGGCAAGCCATTCCACAACTGACATTGCGAACACTTTATTTAAATGACACGACACGGTGGAATCAGGCGCTCGTCAATTTTTGGGCATGTGGAGTTACTGGTATCATCTTAAAGCTTGTTCGTTTGTGTACCTTTTGATGAAAAAAATACCCATTTATCTTGAATAGAAGTCGAGATATTTATGATTAAAAGAGGTGGGGGGTCGCCTGGTTTCAGAGGCAAAATTAACAAGAAAATGGCCGCCAAAGTTTGACTTCCATGGCTTGAGAGACCTTGAAAACTGAAAATTTACATTTTTGTTGCTTTAATCAACGGTTTTCAGAAAAATCAACACAAAAATGTGTTTTTTAATGGACATGTAAGGCGTTGAGCCAAAAAAAAAAAGAAGAAAATTCGAAAAAAAAAATGTCATTAAGAGGCCAGAAAAATGCAGTTTTCTTTGATTTCATTATTTTGACGAGTGCCTGATTTCACCGCGATGCTTCACCACTTATTCAGTCCGTGAGACAAAGTTGCAATGACTGTTAAAACAATTTTCTAGCAAATGACGGTCACACGCGATTTTGAGCCCATTGTTTATGACGGTTCCCAGCCTGCACAAAGATGTGGGCCCCACATGGGCGCAAGCTGGGCGTGGATATGGGCACCATCTGGTAATCCCACTCGGCGCCACGTGGTTTTTGACCATGGGCGATTGAAAGGGCTCATATGTGTCCGCCCATGTCCAGCCCATATCCAGCCCATGCCTAGCCCAGATGTAGACCATATGTTTTTGACGAGCTCACATGGGCCCCATGTCAGCCCCGCTCTTTTTTACCCACAAGACACGGGCATTGCGTGGTATACAGCCCTGCCAAACAGAAACATGAGGTATGTTTGACTCTGCCCCACGCCTGGCCCTGGTGAAGCCTGCATGTTCCTGGCTAGCCCACATGGTACCTATGTCCAGCCAACATGTTCTTGGCTAGCCCGCATAGTGCCTATATCCATCCCACATGTTCCCCATGTCCAGCCCATATGTTCCCCATGTCCAGCCCATACGGTCCCCATGTCCAGCCCATATGTTCCCCATGCCCAGACCACATGCCCCCCATGTCCAGCCCACATGTTCCCCATGTCCATCCCACATGTTCCCCATGTTCAGCCCATATGTTCCCCATGTCCAGCACACATATTCCCCATGCCCAGCCTGCATGTTCTCCATGTCCAGCCCACATGTTCCTGACCAGACCAATATGGCCGAGCCCAAAATGTATGGGCCTTGAACCGTCTAGCCCATGCCCAGCCCATAAGTTTCTGACAAGCCCATGTCTTCCTCACTCACTTGAATAACACCACGTAGTACCATACCATTAATGATAATATGCATTGTAATAATTTATGCCAACATTGATTCAAATAATTTAGAAGGCCAGCTGCTTCTAGTCTGCTTCTCAGAGCCATTCCTGGCGCTGTTAGGCAAGGTATACTATCCAAGCAAAAATAGATACAATATGAATATTAATATACACATGTCCCTACACGGGTACTGATGCAAACTATTGTACTCCCATCCATTTCAGACAGAAAAAATGTAAACGCATACTTTGTAGAAAGAAACACATGTTTCCTTGTAGTATACGTCATCCTATATAAAGCCAGGCTATGGAAAGAGCTATAAAAAAAAAAGAAAACGACTCTCTGGGAAAACTCTGTAATTGCAGACAAACGAGTAAAGAAAAAAAAAAGAAAGAAAGAAAGAAAGGAAGAAAGAAAGAAAGAAAGAAAGAAAAAAGGGGTAAAGAAAAAAAGGAGAAAAAGAAGTAATTCGTTTTGATAGGTCATACGTCATAATTTATTAAGAGCACAAAAAAGAAGGGAAAAAAAGTACTTAAAACTTCTTTTGTTTTTATTTAGACGTAAACAATATTATATTCTAGTTTTTTAAAATAACAGTTCCCTTGACAGTGACGTAAAACATCTCTCTGATTCCGATCTTTGCAATGAAGACTGACGGGAAGCGTTCCTTTCACAAGGGCCAATTCACAGAAGACACAGCATCTGAAAGGAGGCGGGGGGAGGGGGGTATAGTTTGGGCATGACAAAACATTTTCAATGTGTAAATATGAGCACTTTGGATAATAATAGTATGTGTATAACGAACCAGAGGGACGGGGTGTGGACAGGGAAGAAAGTACTTCCTTTTTGTGAGTGCATGTGCGAGCGAGAGAACGAGAGAAAGAGAGAGAGAGAGA